AAAAAAAAAAAAAAAAGAAAAAAAAAAGAAAGAGAGAATATATCCAGTCCTTACTATTTTTATTATCAATAACTCTTTTCCTTTCCTCCTTGACTATATACATTCTGTTTGTTTTGTTTTGGTACCGGCGATAGAACTCGGGTCCCTGCACTTGCGCAGCAGGCGGCGAAACCACCGAGATAAATCCCCAGGCCCTACATTTTTAATAATTTTTAAAAGTTACAAGTTAAAAAAATAAATCTTTACTTAATATTTCTTAAAATTTCCCCTTTCTAGGCTGGGGATGTAGCTCAGTAGTGCAGCAGCTGCCCAGCAAGTCCAAGGCCCTGGGTTTGATTCCCGGTACCAAAGAAGAAAAGTGCAAAAAAAAAAAAGCCCCTAAAAAAAATTTCCCCTTTCTAATTAGCCTTTTTGCCAATCTATTCACAATGGCTTGCAAAAGAAAACTAAGCCCCAAATAATGTTGTTAGCAGTTATCCACTATAAATAACCACAACACAGGTCTCCCCCATACTGATATATTTGCTGCTGTTATGATTCAATTTTAGGATTAAGTGCCCTTTACAAAAGGCTTAAAAAGTAACTTTAAAAAAATCAAATCATTAACACTTTAAATTTTTTTTTTTGGTACCGGGAATCGAACTTGGGTTCTTGTGCTTGTGAGGCAGGCGGCGGAACCACTGAGCTAAATCTCCCACCCCACTTTAAATATTTTTAAGCCATGGGTTAACACCAAAAATACATGGTCTCAGGATATAATTTTGCTTTGTTTTTTGAGACAGGATCTTGCTATGTAGTTCAGGCCAGCCTTGAACACACTATCCAACCCAGTCTGGCCTCAAACTTGAGGCAATCCTCCTGCCTCAGCCTCTCAAGTGTTGGGTGGGATTACAGTCATATGGTACCACGCCTGGCTAGGATCTAATTCTTTAGAATATAGAAAAATAATAAAAACAGATGACTGTAGGGGCTGGGGATGTGGTTCAGTGGCACTGTGCCTGTCTGGCAAGTGCAAGGTCCTGAGTTTGATCCCTGGTACCATAGAAAAACAAAAAAACAAAAACAAAAACAGATGACTATAAACCAGTAAAATGCTTTTCTTTTTTTTTTGAGATAGTCTCACTTTGTAGTTCAGGCTGTCCCTGAACTCATTATGTAGCTCAGGCTGGCCTCGAATTCGAACTTGTGGCAATCCTCCTGCCTCTGCCTCACAAGTGCTGAGAATACAGGTGTGAGCCACCACGCTCAGACAGTAATATGCTTTTCACAAGAAGATGAGACAAGATAATTCATGGAATCCATTAAATAATCTCTAAAGCAAACATTAACAAAGTGAAATTAGGAAAGCAAGTAATTTTTAATTTTTATTTTCAATGTTAATATTACTAATTTCAATAAGTCTATAATTTTCAAGAGATTCAACACCTACTTATTTTTTCCTGCTGTTTATCATATTTCTTTAGCATAGGGCAAAAGAATTAAATTTAACATACTGCTACTCTATAGTAATCTATTTTTTCATTTGTAATATTTTAAACATTTTAATGAAATACTCAAAATCTTCTCTTTCAACCTAAGAACTGAAATTTTTCCTGGCTATGACAAAAGTGTAACATACAACAAAAAAATTCTTACTAAGTACTTACGCCAATGTCATGTTGTTGCTAGGATCAAGGCCAACTTCTATAACAGTGGTGCCTTCAATGTCCACTTCTTTGCAGGGAGTTGTGTTTCGTCCAGTTACTCTGCAGGCCTGATAAAATCCATGTGGTTTTACTCGACCAGAGTCATTGCCCACAAACACCTGTAACACTACTGGTTCATTATGGCCTTCCAGCTGGAACAGATAACATGCAGCAGAAACACTAATTAACATTTCAAAGAAACTAACTATAAAATCAAAGATTTAAAACTAAACCTTGTATATATAACTGGATTACATTACAGAAATAATTTAAACCTTCATGAAAAAGAGAAAAAGCATTTTTATAATGGAAAGCTAAGTTTCTGCAAAAAAAAAAAACCAACTAGTTTTAATTCTGCACTAATTTTCTTTTTGAGAATTAGAATTAGAATTACTAGGATTGCTAATTTTCTTTTTTGAGACAGAGTCTCACTATGTAGCCCAAGCTGGCTTAAAACTAGCAGTGATCCTCCCACCTCAGCCCGAGTGCTAGGATTACAGGTGCGCATCACTACACACAGCTTCTGTGGTAGTATTTTAATGAAAACTTTAGATGTTGGATAATAAATTCTCATTTATAATTTATTTGTATGAGCAAGTGAGAATGACCACACAACTCTTACATAGCACGTAGGTTACTCAGGACTTTAATACCATCACTGATGGGAAAATTCACTGCACTGTTAGTGGCATTATCTTCATCATTAAGTGAATTATTACTCATGTAAAACTGTGTTGAGTACAAATGTCCTTAAGGTGTAGCTGTATGAATAATAGAAAAATAAAGACTAGATACATACATGTAACATCATGAAATCCTGGGCCAAACATTATGGTTTAAAAACTATTTCAAACCAGAATCCATAGATCATTATAGGTATCTAGCAAAGCTTTCATGAATTATATTCATATGGTGAAGAGTAAATATTTAAAAGCAGTTGAGAACAAATGTTTCCAACTTTGATTCTTGATGTTTGTAGTTAAACATTGAAGCAGGTGATGCAGAATGCAGAAAAATAACAAAGTAACTCAGAGTATTCCCAAGTACTTTAGAAAACGCCTACATCTCTGTTATCCCAAGACAGTGGCATCTCTGTGAAATGATTCCCATAATAATGCAAATAAGCAATAGGGAAAGCACTTAGTCAGCAATACCTAGACCAGTGCTGGCACATAGAAGGGTGTTAGTATTTGTTGAATGAATAAATAATCTTTCTTTTGGTACCAGGGATCAAACTTGGGACCTTGTGCTTGCAAGGCAGGCGGTGGAACCACTGAGCTAAATCCCTGGCCCTGAATGAATAAACTTTTAAGGTTAGTCAATTCATTCCCTATCATATAGGCAATTAATCTAAAATGCATCTAACTTGGATACAACTTAGATAAAGCCTAACCTAAATGCAGGTTAAAAATATTGACTACATTATCAAAATGTCTTAAATTTCTCACCTTTTCTGTAATTTGTCCTGGGTTTGAGTGATTAGGGATGGGGTAGGGTGGTGGGTAAGACTGGGGTAAGGATGATGTACATTGTAACTACTAACCAAGCTTACAAAAGGCCATGGGCAAGTTTCTAGATCCCAAGTTTCAAACATAATTTCTTTTTTTTTTCCCCATTAACTTTATTGGTACATTTTAGGTATACAATACAGTTACATTCATCACTGGGATCTTTTACCATTACATGAGTCTCTTGGTTTTTTTTTTTTCCCCTTCCCTTGCCCTCCCTTCACCCCCTCCACCCTTCCCTATTTGCAAAGACCTTGTTTCCATTTTTTTCCTCTTTTC